AGCAGAGGTGGTATGTGTACTCCCAAGCCTCCAGGAGATGTTGAAACTCAGTATCAGAACCTAGGGAGAAAACCTAGGACAACCTGGGATATCCCCAGTCATTCAGGCCCAGGATAAAGTTGAATTTATATAGCAGGCACAATAATGGATTAGCAACCAAACAGTAATACACTGTAATAAGCATTATTAAAAATATGTGAAATGTTTATTTCCATTTAATATTTTCAAACTGAATTTGACCACGGATTCTTGAAAACAAAGAAAGCACATTTTGTTTGTTTGTTCGAAACTGGGTCTCTTCTATTATGCAGCCCTGGCTGTCCTGGAACTTGCTCATGAAGCAGGCTGGCCTCAAATTCACAGAAACCCACCTTCCTCTGCCTGCCAAGTGCTGGGGTCAATGGCATGAACTACCACTCCCCTTGCATTTGTGACTAACACACTATGCCCTATCTCTACTCTCCTGACCCTTGCCCAGTCACAACAATGTAGCTCGTGGTCCTACCTCCTGTCCTTGTCAGAACAAATGTCCTTTGGGAATCGAATCTGTCTACTTCTGCACTGAGACTCTCCCGGTACACAGTGGGTCAGTCTGCAAGTCTGTGCTCTGGATTGGATAAAAGGCACCTCTAACCCAGTACCTCAAGACATAACCCACTGGGGATATAGTCACATGTGTCCACAAGGAGAGTATCTGTGTGCCCTGGGAGGGGAAAGGGACAAAGAGCAGAATTACTGCGGGCAGGCTGCTTTGACCTTCCAAGACTTAGAAAGACAGACATCTGACCCATGGTGAGCACAGGCAGTCTATGAACTTAGGCTGGAGATGGGTTAATCATCAAAAAAGGGTAGTGTGTCCATGATGCAGCAGTTTCTGGGCAGAATGTTCCAGATCTTGCACACCTCCAGTGAGGTTATAGCTTTACCCTCCTCTGCCTGGGTAACCACCAGATGTTGACATAGCTCCTGTATCATCTGTTGTTCTGATGGGATTGCAGCCCCCACTTAACACCATCCATGGTGGGCTTCCCACAGACCTCCATACCCCAGTCCTCCCCAGCTACAAGACCCTTCCTGGATAGGGCCCCATCACCTCTGCCCACCTTGGCCCACTTCCACACTCTCCCCCCTTGAGCCGGTCTCCCCTTCTTGCCATGGCTTTTGAATTGTCTGCTGCCAACTCCAAAAGTCCTGGGGCCAGGACTGACTGTCCAGAGTACCGGGCTCTGGTGTCTGCCAGAGCCTGAGGTGTCAAAGCCAGCAGGTGGCCTCTGTACCAGATAAGTGCAGATTGCAGAATGGATATGAGGTCTGAGAGCATCCCCATCCCCTCTAGGTGACTTCTGCCCCCGATTTCTTCATCTGTGTAGTGGGAGTAGGCGGAACTGCCTTCCAGGGCTACCACGAGTCTCGTGTCTAAGGTGAACATACTTTGTTTCCTGGACGGTGAGTGCCAGTCCTAGGGTGGCATCCAAGGACATACCGGGATTGGTCTTCTCTGAAGTCTACCTCTGGCCACCAGCAGCTTCTTATTTTCCATCAGCAATACCTATTTCTCCTGCCCTGGTGGACTTCCACCACCTAATTGAAGGCAGGCTTCCAGGAGACCAGAGGCCACTGTCCTGGCAGATGACATATGATAGGAGGGCTTTGCAAATCAGCAGGGGGCAAGCCAGTGACCCTTGGAAGCCTTGGGTGGCCCCTGGAAAGAACTTACATAAGCTGCAAGGTAAATACCGATAGGCCTAGACCCCAGACCCATGGGAGAATCTCTAAATGCTGGGGCAGGGCAGGTAGTGGGACTCCTATGCTTCCTCCACTGGGCTCTCACTGCTGTCCGTACGCTTGCTGCAGGAAACTCCCTGCAGGTATTTCTTCCATACACCTTCAGGTAAGTGTGTGCAGCAGCAGCATCACAGACTGGCTTTCTCTCCTGGGCCTGCCACCGGCCAGGAAATGTGAGCATGGAAGGAAGGGACAAGTGTGTCTAACCTGCATCCCGTGGGCCGCATAAGTCCCAGGATAGCTATAAATGTGACCCAACACTTGCAGGAGACATCATTGTGCAATCTCAAAAGGCATCCCAGAGTGAACTGTGACACATGCCCAGAAACTCCCAGTGGGGTTAGTAACATGACAACTAGGGGACACAAGTGCTTTGATAGTCCCCAGAATCACAGGAGTCTACTAAGCCCTGCACAGGCAGTGTCTCTGCTCTATGTGCACCCGTAGACACAGTCAACACGTGGAAAGCAAGGAGAGAGGGTACAGAGGCATCCCAGAGCAGGTGTGCACCCTCTGCTCTCATGGTGGGTGCAGGACAAGCCCTTGCATCTCTCTCCTCTGAAAGCAGTCTCCCAAATGAAATTCACTGTCCTCTGGGGCAAGTGACAGGGGACCATTTGAAAAGAGATGTTCAAGATGTCTAAGGGAGGCCAGATGAAAGTCTGTTCAAAAGTGATTCCTCTGTATATGTAGTTAAAAAAACAAGTTTTCTTTTCTTGAAACCTTGGGAGCTCCAAGAACCCCAACTATTGGTTGTCTGTGTTCTCTGTGTTCACAGCGACTCTGCTGGCCCCTTACAAACCTTAGTTCTCTTTCCTAACCATTATTTCAAGATCATTCTAAATGCCTAGTAGAACTAGGTTTATGGCAGAACATTTTTTTGAGTTACTTATTTATTTATTAAAGATTTCTGTCTCTTCCCCCCAGCCGCCTCCCCTTTCCCTCCCCCTCCCCCAATCAAGTCCCCCTCCCTCGTCAGCCCAAAGAGCAATCAGGGTTCCCTGCCCTGTGGGAAGTCCGAGGACCACCCACCTCCATCCAGGTCTAGTAAGGTGAGCATCCAAACATGGCAGAACATTTCGAGAGAGAGAAAGAGAGCAGAGAGGAGAGCGAGAGCGAGAGCGAGAGCGAGAGCGAGAGCGAGAGAGAGAGAGAGAGAGAGAGAGAGAGAGAGAGAGAACACCCCTGCATGTGGACTCTGGTCCTTGGAGCTTGGGACCTGTTGTACACCAGGTAACTAAGATCTCTTTCCACTGGCCACCCTGGCCATCTGGTACCTAGAGAAAGTCCTTCAGAGATGTAGCCCCGTGAGCAGCCTCCAGTCACCCTTACTCACTGTTATAAACATGCCACCTAGAACAATGCTGCCACTGGTAGGACAATGGTTTAATGCTGTCCCTGCCTGTTCCCCAGGTCATTCAGGAAATCATATAGGCAGGTCTCTTTGCAAGTTCTTTTAATGTTTCCATTTATTTATTGTACGTGGCAGAGTGGCTGGTGTGTGTGTGTGTGTGTGTGTGTGTGTGTGTGTGTGCATATGGAGGTCAGAGGACAACTTTCAGGAGTTGGTTCTTTTCTTCCACCATGTGGAAGGTTCAAATACAAGCCATCAGAATTAGTGGCAAGCACCTTTACCCACTCAGTCATCTCCAGGGTCCCAATTTTGCAAGCTTTGAAGCATTTTACAAATGGCTATTTCCTGGCCAGCACAAGCAAGAAAAGGAGGGCTTGCCAGTAGACAAGTAGTGAATGTTCTGTGAGTGTCTGGAAGGTGGGGCAAAGTTCACCACAGGTTTGAGGCTAATCAGCAAGGGTGCAAGGGTGGGTTTAAAAGTTCCTGAATGTTACAGTTTAATCGGGTCGGGTCCCCAGTTCCCCAGTAAAGAGACGTGAGCGTAAAGTTTCCTTTCCCCGAGTAGGTTCTCCAGGGCGCTCATGGCCACAAATAGCATAGTGGCAGGCGCAGCGTGAGGACAGAGGAGGGCTGGCATAGCACACATTTCGTTCCCAAAGGAGCGGTATCCTGATGCGTTGGCACCCCGGGGGCCGTGTGCATTCCGTGAGCAGAGATCCAGGGAGGACGCAAACAAAGTGGCTGCGCTGGGCCGCAGCAACCCCCCGCCCCCTACCCCCCCCCCCCCCCCCCCCCCCCCGGCGTTGGCAGTTGGCAGAACCCCAGCGCCTCAGCTGGATACAGTCAACCCCTCAATCCCCCAGCGTACTCAGAGGGGGTGCAGCCTGGGGCGGGGGGGGCTAAGGGTTGGAGCGGCTGGCGCCTCCTCGCCACCGTCCCCGATGTCCTTCACCCTCCTAGTTCCCCGCCCGCCACACCCACCCTGGCACCTCGGCCACCTGTTGCCGCGTGCCCCGGCTTGCTCTTCCTTTTCCCCCCATTTCTCATCCTGGTGCCCTGAAAATCAGATCCTTCCGGCTCGCCACCCCTACGAACTCCCGGGACTCTGGGGTGCGCTCGGTGGCCTAAACCAGCTCACCGAGGGCACACGGCGGGAAAAGTTATACCCGACCCGCCACCTTGAACTTCAGTCCCGGTTGGTGCGCGGGGCTGGGAACTGTAGCGCGCGCGCTTCGGGGTGTACCCTTTCTGCAGGACTTTCTCGCCCGTCGGGTGACCTTGAGCAGTCCCTACACCTAACCAGCCTCAGTTTACTAACGGGTACCGTGGCCCCGGGCACTAAATGGGCGTCGGGAAGAGCTGCCCCGGGCCTCTTCGGCCCCGCCCCGCCCCTCAGCAGCCAATCGTGCGCTGCCGTCTGGGGGGTGTGTCCCGCCCTGAGCCGCGGCCCCAGGCCTAGGGGGCGGGGTTTCCGGGGCGGTCACCTCGCCGCGGGACCCCGCAGGGGACGTCCGAGGGGCGGTGCGTGTCGTGGGGGCGCGGCTGGCACGGGCTCACGGAGGCGGTGCCGGTCCGGGGCCCGGGACGCGGCGGCCCCACGACAGGGGTGACGGGGGCGGAGGCAGCCGCTTGCGCCCCGCCTGGCGCCGCCTCCCGGGGCGCGCTGCCCTCGCGGACCCGCAGGCGGAGCGCAGCCTCAGGTGCTCGGGGGCGGGAGGGCACGCGCGGGGGCGGGAGCCAGGCGTCCCCAGTCCCGGGACAGTGAAGTGGGTGGACAGGGAGAGGAGGGGCTCGGTGGCGCATGCGCGCGGATCAGGGGCGCGGGTCTAGAGACCCACAGGCACCGGCGAGGGCACAAGCTGGGAACGCGTGCGACTCTCCGGGCCCGCGGGACTGTCCGCTACTTCGGGTCCCCGCAAGTACCGAGCGCCGGCCCCGAACTCTGTTCGCAGCTGGTAGTGGGGCTGGGGGCTTCGCGGAGTCCTTGAATTGGAGCGACGCTGGGTCCTCTGGTTGTCCCCTGGAGGGGAGGGCCCACGGGCGGAGACATCGGGGAGCGTCCTTCCCACGGCGCGGTGCATTTGGGCGTCACCCACCGGGGGGCGTTTCCTGAGACCCTCAGGGATCTCAGAGGCGAGGTAACCTGAGGACCGGACAGACTGATTCTGGGATCACTGAGCCCGGCTACTCCTGTGGATCTGGAGAAACGCGGGTGGGTTCCTGTCACCAGCAGCCGACCCTCTTTGAGCACCAGTTCCCACATTGCGTCTGACCGTAGTGGGGAGATGGGGGACAGGCCCCAGCAGTAGGGTAGAGTCTGGCAAAGCCGCCCTATGTCTCTGCCTCTCCAGAGCCCAGTGCCACAGCGGGCCCTGTGTAGGGCAACTTAAGTCTCCTCAGCACCTCTCGCTCGCTGCTCGGCCAGCCTGCTAGGGATAAAGGGAGCCTAGAGTGCCAGTGTGCTAATCGGGAGGGTGACTCTGATCCAGTACCCGCTCCAACTATCCTGGAACAACTGCACCCCTCCTTTTCCCAAACTTTTTTTTTTTAATTTAAAGGGAAGATGGTGTTTCTCTGCAGCTAAGATTCTAAGAAAACCTACAGTGTTATAATGTCTTAGTCTTTGAGGGGCACTCTGTTGGAGTTGCTCACCCACCGCAAACCCAGCCCACTCCTTTCCCAGAATGGCCTCTCCCCTCCTAGCACTTCTTGGGGGAGGAACTCAGAACTTTCTTGGGCGACCCTGGAACACTGTAGTGGTTGCAGGCAGCAGGGTCACAGTGACTTTCCCAAGGTGGCGGAGAGTTGGGGGGGATCCAGAGAACATATTGTGACTGGTTCCTTCCTTAACGTCCTACAGCCAAGACTGAAGTTCAAGGCCCTGTCTTCCCGGTGGAACTGACATCTGTGGCAAGTCAAGCTCAGGAACAAGACGCTGTCATCACAGGTAAAGAGGACTTGTGGAGCTTCCGGACTGAAATATAAATTCTGTCTTCGGTTGCACTAGCAGGAGGTCGGGGGATCGGGTAGATTATTTTATGATGAAATAGTAATTGCATTTTCAGGGTTTGGAAAGCCAGGCAAATGGATGGAACCATGTTTCATTTCTGAGTGTGTGTTCCCTGGGAACCTCAGTTCTTTACGGCAGGCTGCTTTGGTGCTTTTTGAAAGGAGGTGGCATTGCTTTAGAAATAGTCTTACTGACTGGTTATAAACTGACTGGTAAGGCTGGCCTGATGTCTTCTAGCTGTTTCCAGATAAATTTGACTACGTGGTCGGTGAGTTTCATCATCAGCCATGGCAGGGATGACCCCAAGAAACAGTCAGATGAACAGTCCTTAGTGGCCACATAAAAGTCCAGGGACATTGGGCCTGTAAATGAAAGGCAGTAGAAAGCAAAGTGTTTCTTTTCCCACATCTTAAACGTGTATGGAAACACACCAGACTTCCAGTGCTTGTTAGTAGGGGAGGATCCTGTTATGTAGCCCATGTTAGCCTGGATCTTGCTGTGTAGCAAAGGCTATCCTTGAGTTTTTTATATTCCTGGCTCAGTCTCCTCAGTACTGAAAGCTGAAGTCGTTCTTTTTAACTCATGCTTGTCAAGCCTATTAATTAAAGAGTTCTAAAAATTGTGCACGTGTGTGTGTGTATGTATGTATGTATGTATGTATGTGTTTAAAGGGTGGAAAGAGATGGGAGAAGAGAAAACATGTTTCTTCTACATAGACTTTTACAATGCTTTATTAGGTTGAGGAAAAATATTTTCATGTGAATAAAATGTATCTTTGCTTCATTTAAAGTGTCTGTATAATATTCCACTAGGCTTAGAAACAGTATTTAGCCAATGCATATGTAGATAAATGTGAGTTTATAATTCATTTAGTTCATGCTTACTGTGTAGCTGCTGGGGGCTCCTGTGTCATTCATGAACAAGACAGTCATGGACTTGCTCATGAAACTAATTTTCATGCCAGAATATAAGAAACAGCTGGAGTTGGAGCTCAGTTGGTGTAGTGCTTGCCTAGTACACATTGTACCCTTGGTTTGATCCCATGCACTACTTAAATCAGGTGTGGAGGGATGGCACATGCTTGAAATCCCAGCACTGAGGAGACAGAGGCAGGAGAATCAAAAATATATGATAAGTTTGAGGGTAGCCTGGGCCACATGGGACCTCGTCTCAAAAACAAATAACTAGACATGGTGGTGTATGTTTTTCATCCTTGTACTCAGGAGGCAGAGGCAGGAGGATCTCTGTGAGTTCAAGACCAGCTTGATCTACACAGAGTTTTAGACCAGCCAGTGCTATGCAGTAAGATCCTCTCTTAAAAAAATAAAATAAGCAAACAATAATAATAAAGCTAACAAACAGACAAACAAAAAAGAAGTTTATAACTATCCTCATAATAGTTAAAAGGTGAAGAAACTGGAATGCAGTGAGAGAAGGGGTGTCTTAGCCGTTTGTGCCTAGGGACTCCTGTGCCCTTTTTTTTAATGTTATGATCATTTGTGGCTTTATAATACCATTTGAAAAGATTTTATTAAAACATTGATTGAAATGTCTCTTTGCTTGACATAAATAGATTTTAATTACAACAAATTCCCTTGCCCCTGGTTGCTCTTGCAGCCTCTGTGTGGGGTGTTGTTGTTGTTAGTGGCTGATGTTTGTCCTAGCTTTGTGGCATTGCAGCAAAGGTTGTGGCCGGTTGAATGTCTGCTTTTGGTGGCAGAAGGGAGAGGGTCTCTGTTTTTATTTCTGATTTTGGCAACTTGATACGCACTGTTTTAAAAGATATCATTTCAGTGGGCATGGTGGTGGTGCATGTCTTTAATCCTAGCACATGAGAGGCATTGGCAGATAGATCCCTGTGAGGTCCACAGCCTGGTCTGCATAGTGAGTTTCAGGCTAACCAGGGCTACATAGAGAGACTCTGCCTCAAAAATAGATAGATAGATAGATAGATAGATAGATAGATAGATAGATAGATAGATAGAGAGTTTCAGGCTAATCAGGACTACATAGAGAGACCCTGCCTCAAAAATAGATAGATAGATAGATAGATAGATAGATAGATAAATAAATAAGCTATAACTTCTGTGTATGGGACAAACATTTGCTGTCTCTGTGGCTTTAGACTTTTTAATGTTGCAGAATAAACTAGATCATCTAGGGTCATGGGCTTAGAGAACATTAGGCAGAGAATTTAAATCTCCAACTTGGTGATAAGAGGACCTTTGTTATTGTTTTGGGGTTTTGTGAGGTTTCTGCTTTGGTTTTGGCTGTTGAACATCAAGTCCCGGGGTTCAGGTTCACAGCACATGCTGTGCTGAGGGGTGCCCCCAGCTGCAGGTGGGTTTCAGTAGGAGCTTCCAGAGAGAAACATGTGCTGTTTAACAGCTTGCTTCTCCGGGTTTCTGACAGAAAGGAACACCGTGCATAGGGCTTTCCAGACTGTGCTATGGGCATACTTGTTCTTCAAAAGTGTGTGTGTGTGTGTGTGTGTGTGTGTGTGTGTGTGTATACACACTTTGTCTCTGCAGCCTTCAATGGCTGAGCATCAAGGGGTGGTGACTGTGGTGTCCTGGAAGAGTCTGTGCATGTCACATGGTGAAGCCCTCGCTCTTGGGTGAAGTCTTCCTAGTTGAGCTGAGCTGGTTTGGGGTCTGCACAGCAGAAAGGAAAGGGCACTGGAGGGTGCATTAGAAACACACCTGGATATGGCGGGAAAGGTGTGATGTCATTCATTATGACATTTAGGTCCCCGCCTCTCAGCTGCTACCTGCTAGGCCACAGACTTCTGTCCACCTCCCTACGCTGCTGCTTCTCAACCGAAAATGCAGTTCTCTAGATCACCTTGAAGAGCCGTGACACTGAGAAACAGCAGCCGAAACAACCGTGCCCATCTCAGTAGCCGTCAGGGCGGCTCAGGCTCTGGGCCACCTCTGTTGCTCACCTACCCTGAGCCATTTGTAGCTGTCACAACCTTTTGACCTCCCGGAGACTTTGAGAAAGAGACTTTCTCACTACCCTCCCATGCCCTCTCATCAGATTCCAGTTTGAAGCAGGTAAAGGAGAGGGCTCAGCAGTAACACAGACAAGTCCTGCATGTGCCCTCCCTCCCAGTGTCTCTCCAGAGGTGTCCAGCCTAGGGCCAGCAGGCTGTGTGTGTCCCAGGATCGCTGTGAGTGTGACCCAGTGTGCAGATGATACGACAGTGCAGTGTCAAAGTCAGATGCCCGTTAGACCAAACCATACTGAGGGACCTACTAAAAGGCAGCCTCCTGCAGCATAGTGGGACTTATGTTTAGGTGTTGCCTGGCACCATGGTTCTGGAGAGTCTGCCTCTCCCACTGAGGCAGGGGTGGGGAGTGGGGGTAAGGTGTTGGCCATGGAGGGCTGGGGGTTAGGAACTGTCCACTGTTCACCTGCTAGCACTATAGATTTTGTAAGAACTTGGAGAACCTCATTGAATATGTAAATGATTGGCAGTAATGAGAGCAGCGGGAACTCACTGCCCTATACCCTTGTAGGAGCACTCATGTGGAAGGGCGGGTGTCTCTGAGCTGGCAAGTGCTACATCCTCATCTCCACTGTGGGGCACCTCTTGGCAGTTGGCGGCTCTCCTTATGGCCAGGATGTAGTTCCTGTGGCTGTGGAGTAAGATGTGGTGGTTGCTGTCAAAATATTGTGTTTGTAATTATCACTAGATTTGGGAGCTACTCTATATGAAATACCTTTTTTAACACTACAAAGCCTTAAGATATGTTTAAATAAAGTGTTATTTGTTTTCTGCAAACCATGGATCAAATACCTGACTGAGGAAAAAATGTGGTTCAAGTTCTGTAAATTGGGACATGGAGCATTAATTTTTAAATATATATATGTGTGTGTGTGTATGTGTGTGTGTGTTTTCCCTGCATGTATGTCTGTGCATCGCATGCATGTCTGCTGCCCATGGAGGCCAGAAAAGAGCATTGGATCTCCTGGAACTAGAGTTACAGATGGTTGTAAGCTGCCATCAAACCCAAGTCCTCTGCAAGAGCAGCCGGTGCTTTAACCACCAAGTCACCCCCCAAGCTCTTAAATGTATATATTTAATGGATTAAGGGTCTTGCATGGGATGTATATTGGAGAAAATTAAATGCCCCTGCAGGTGGCACACCACAGGCTGCTCTTATTCTGCTGGATTTTAAGAGATTTGGAAATAAAAAAGGAGTGAGTGTCTCTAATTGGACCCACTTTCTTGACACTGTCTGCTTGGAGAACACAAGGACGCCTTTAAAACAGCATTGCACTGAGACCTGAGAGTCAGGGCTGGAACACAGACTGGTTAATTGTCCCAAAGGTCACTGAAACTTGTGAACAATTCAAGATTAGGGTAGGCTCAAGAGTGAGGGGCCCCCTGGGCTCTTGACAGCCATTTGTAACTGAACAAGTCTGCGGTTGTGTGATAACTACTCTGAGGTGACAAGCAACAACTATCGGGGAGAGACCTAGTAATTAGGGGTGAACGGGTGGAAGTGCCCGATTCAAGACGTTAGCAGCCAGCTTTAGGTGAGCATTCGTGGTGAAACAAGATGGCCTGTAAAAAATGCAAGATGAAATCACTCAGCAGGTGACAAATCTTAGTGCCCCAAAGCCATTGTTTCTATGTTCCCTCCACACTAAATGCAGACGGTTTTTACTGGAAGAAGTTTTAGCTGCGGTTTTCCAGGTGGCTTTTCTGATTGGTCAGAGTTATATCTAATGGCTTGCCGTTCCGAGAGCCCTGCTCTCCTCGTCTAGAATCACGAGCTGAGCCGCTCTGATGCATTCCAGGCTCCAGTCACAGCCCAGCCTGGGGGAGGGTTTTATTCACCACTTTCTAGTCCTGTGCATGAAGAATGATGCTTTAAAAAAAAAAAAAACTGTTCTGGGAACTTTGAACTTTGGCTGCTGTGGGGTCA